TCCGGTGGCAAGACAAAAGTCAAGGCCACTGGCAATGGCCTAGGATGCAGTAAATGACCTTGGCAACTTTGATGTCTAACCAAGCTGTAAGTGCTCCACAACACCTGCTTCAGCCCTTCATGGCCATTGAAATGAACTGTTCTCCTCTGCCCATTCTGTCAGAGGAAAGCTTCATGTGCTTAGGGTGGACACCCTACAAACTCACTAATGGATTTGAGGTCTGTCAGTTACCCTCAGCCTGGATTAGCTTGTCTTGTATATAGTTTGTATTGGGAAGAAGGGGTTCAAACTTAAAACGGTTTCTATATAATGTCCAGCCTACCAAGATCATTTCCAAAGATAAATGGCTAAGCTTCCCTCTTGACTGCCTGAAATCTGTTCTGAGTCAAACAGTCCAATTGGAATTTTGCTCCTCGTATCTGGGCCAGCAGCAGAATCGAGCATAAACTCTGCTTCCTGAACCCTCCATGGCATGGACTCCCTCTCTTCCACTCAGGTGGCTCTTCATTCTGCTATTTTAAAGCTCACAAGGCCATCACTATCTCTAATACTCTTCCACCTAAATAGAGACAGAAAAAACACAAAGAGGCAAATAACAGAGGCCTAACCTATATATTTTGAAAGCTTATACAAAGGAATATTTACAAATATACAAACTGACTCCCCCAACACTCAGGAAACATAATCACCACCTTCACACATCCCTCCTTTATACCACTTCAGTCTCTGGGGAGGGAAGGGGGATTAGCTCAGTTCCTAGAGAACATAGTTCCAGTTCCAAGTCCAATCTTGGACAGCTTGGATTCCTGGCTTCAAGGCTGCCTTGGCTGAAAATCGCAGGTCCGCTGGAGATAACTCCCGTCTTCTGAATTGAGGAGGACAAACAATATAGAACAAAAACAAACTCTTCCCAGGCCCATTTCTCAGAGCCAGGGTAAAAGAGAAAAAACAGGGAAAGGAATGTCCTTCCTCTCTCAATAGATTAGTTCATGGCACCTGCACTTTGGGTGAACTATGATCTTTACCCTGTAGGATACAGAAATATGCCCAGGAGTCAGAAAACAAGATGAACTGTCTTAGAATCATCTGATTTTAAAGATGCAACCATGCTAGCCTCAGATGGGGAGAGCCTGAAGCATCATCTTTCCTCAAATGCAGCTGGAGAGGAAAAGAAGAGCAAAAGAGTTGCTTTTGCCTGGTTACTTCCTTTAGAACAGGCCTGCACAACACACAGCCCACGAGCCTGCCAAAGGATTTCTGGCATCTGCAAAAAATGTAGGGTTGCCACTGGGCACCCTCTCCTGTTTGTCACATAACCCGTGACAACCAACCATCACCAATCTGTCTCTAGTCTAACCTATCTGCCTCCCGAAGAAGTTTGGCCTATTTTAATGTTGAGCCCTACCTACTGCCAAGTTGTGCAGGTCTGCTTTAGAAGGCACCCCAGTTCCCACTCTGCAGCCAAACAACAGCCTGTCTCAACCACATGGTTAGCAGACCAGGACCAGTTAGAAAATATCTGTGCATGCTCCATATTAGGGAGCAAGGCCCTTCTATTACACTTCCCCATGCCTTCAGGGATGTAGAGTGTTTGACTAGTACTTCTGGTGTGAGAGTTGCTGAGCTCTTTTCAGGGCTGCTTTCTACCTTTGATGTCCAACTGGTCACCCTCTAACCTGTGGCTACAAGAAGCTGTAGCATGCACAACAGCCACACCCAGTACCTAGATGGGCAGGTGGATTAAACCAGGTTGAGGGCAACCAAGGGGTCTCAAATCCTTCAGTGAGGGGGGGAGGGGTGTCTACGCCAAGCATGTGAAAACTTCCCCCAGCAAAATGAGCAGATTTGTTCCAACAATTTGTTCCAACAACCATGAAGGCAGCTGAAGTAGGTGCTGTGGAGTGCTTAGAGCTTGGCTAGACATCAAAGACACCAAGATCATACACTGCATCTTACCACCAGTTGTCTTGACTTTTGTCTTGCCACTGGACTTCAATGACTCTGGAAGACAGAGTGAGCTGAAAATCTTACGCAACTCTGCCTCACTTAAAACCAATTTATACATGACTCAAAAGTCATCCTCCATACCATTTTACCATTTTTACCATTTGGCGACAGGCAAGTGATGAAGCAGCAGGTGTGGATACACTGGGAGTTGTAGCCATAACCCTACCCAGAGGTGGCTCAGACCATAGGGTCATCTTGTCACTGAACTGAAGCAGCAGTAGGATTTGGCAGCCCCCTATGTGTCTGAGCAGCCTTTTTGAAGAACCACACTAATTATCTCCGGCAATGAGAAAGGGGCTAGAAAAGGTGCCCAAAAATTGTCTGTTTCAACCTACCCTGGCCAGCTTGACATGGCAGACAAGGAGCTCACCCTGCAGATGAAACACCAAAAAAACTTTTACTAAGATGATTCCACTCACCATCAGCACATTGAACGTGCACATACTTATTACAGACAATGTGAAATCCAGTAGACCTGAAAGACAAATAGCTCTTGTTGGAAGAGAATTCAGCAAGTATTGCAACCAAATAGCAGCCTGAGTGAAACAAGGCTGGTAAATGAAGGCCAATTTGCTGAAATCAGAGCTGGATACTCATTATTCTGGAGGAGCTGCAGTGATGGGGAGTGCCATGAGGTTGGCATAGGTTTTGTAATCAAAACCAATCTAAGTCAACAAGCCTGTATGACAATGCAATTGCCCCTTACAGGAAAGTGCCATACCACTATCATCAGTGCCTATGCTCCCACCATGACAAACCCTGAGAAGGTTCAGAAAAATATGGGAAGAACTAGAGACTCTTATCAATGTGGTGAAAGAGGGAAAACTTAGAATTCTGAGTGACTTTAACACTACAGTAGGTGCAAACTATCAGACATGGCATGGAGTATGCTTGGGAAGAATGAGGTCAGAAACAACAACAGCAATGGTCACTTACTACTGAAGCCTTGTGGGTCTCATGACGTTCTCATCACCAACAATGTCTTCCATTTACCTAAATGCAATAAAACTTCATGAATGTACCCTCACAGCAAATATTGGCATTTACTAAACTATGTCATCATAAGGAGAAAAGACAGACAGGATGTGAGAGTGAGGAAGGTGATGTGTGGTGCAGAGTGCTAGACTGATCATAAACTTATTCTCTCTAAGCTAAATATTTGCATTCAACAAAAGCAGCAGCCCCAAGGCAAGATGACTACCAGAAGACTTAATGTCAACATCTTCGACTGCTTCTCCCTGCTGAACAGTCTGCTGCTAACTTGGAAGAAAAGATAAGCCAAAACATGGGTGGCAACAACAGAGCAAAAAAGGAGTCGGCAACTTTCAGAGATCTGGTGTATTGCACCACATCTACTCATCTGGGCCAGAACATTCACAAACATCAAGATTAGTTTGATGAAAATGATGGGGAAATTCAGAAGCTTCTAAGAGAGAAAAACAAGAACTCCACAGGGTTTATCAGCAGGATAGTCCATCCATCTCTAAGAAGGCAGCATTTAACTCCATCAAAAGTAAAGTGTAATGTTGTGTGATGACTAATATTGATAGACTTAACCCCTCTCAGCAATACAAGGATCTAAGACATCTCCAAAGGCCTCATGGTGGAAAATGCTATCCACAAAGAAGAACAAACTATAGAGTTTGAAAGCAGATCGAAACATACTATTTGCTATTTTTTTCTTCTGTTGTGTTTTGTTTCCTCTTTCTGGTGGTTCCTCCTATCGGTTCTAATTCTTACTTACAATATCACTAACGTAAAAATATGTTTAATAGGAATATATATGTATGGCCTACATCAGATTACATGCTGTCTTGGGGAGGGAGGTGGGAAGGGAGGAGTTCAAAAATCTAAAACTCAAAAGCTTATGGAAGTGATTGTTGGTAACTCAAAATAAATTAACTAAAAAAAAAAAAAGTAAAGTGCAAGTATGGAGAGATGCAGGATTCTTGGCTCAGTAAGAAGGCAGATGAAATTCAGTTCTACACTGATAGTAACAATCCAAAGAGCTTTCACAGTGCCTTGAAAGCTATTTATGGGCCAAAGATCTATGGTGCATCTCAACTACTCAGTGCTGATAGAGCCACATTGATTAGTGATAAGGACATTATCCTGGAGAGATGGGATGAACACTTCCCTAGTGTTCTCAACAGACTGTCATCAACCAATGCTAAAGCCACTGACCATATACTTTAGATGGAAGTCATCCCTCTCAAGTCAAACTTCTAACTGAAGAAGAGGTTTTGAATGCTATTAGGCTTCTCTCGTGTGGCAAAGTGCCTGGTGCTGATTCTATTCCTTTTTTGTTGTTGTTTTTTTGTTTTATTTTTTGGTGAGGCAATAGGGGTTAAGTGACTTACCTAGGGTCACACAGCTAGTAAGCATCATATGTCTGAGGCTGGATTTGAACTCAGGTCCTCCTGACTCCAGGGCCGGTGCTCTATCCACTGCGCTACCTAGCTGCCCCAGCTGCTGATACTATTCCAGCTGAGATTTACAAGGCAGAGGGTCCACTGTTCATACAAAAGCTGAAAAATTTTCTGGACTATATGGCAAGAGAAGGTTATCCCTCTGGAATTCAAGGGAGCCTCCACTGTCCATCTCTATAAAGGAAAGGGAAATAAGTTGTCTTATGACAATCATGGGGAGGGAGACGGGTCTCTCTCTTATTCACGGCCAGCAAAATTCTTGCCAGGGACCGCCTTAATAGGCTCATCACTCACCTTGAATCTACCTGAAAGCCAGTGTGGCTTCAGAAAGGGCTGAAGAATGGTTGATATGGTGTTTGCTGTTCAACAATTCCAAGAGAAATGCCAGGAGTCCAACAGAGGTCTGTATGCAATGTTCATCGATCTAAGGAAGGCTGTCAGTCATGAGGGCTTGTGGAAAATTATGGCAAAACTTTGTTTCTTGAAGAAGTTTATCAATAATTTGTCAATTTCATGATGGCATGCTTATATGAGTTCTGGATAATGGACGATGCTCTCACCCTTTCCCAGTCACCAATGGAATGAAACAAGGTTGTGTGCTTGCTTCTATGCTTTTTAGCATGATGTTTTCTTCAACGTTGTTGGCCACCTTCAATGAGGAAGAAAACAGTATTAAGGACAGCTACGACACTGACAGGACGTTATTTAAATTGAAAAGGCTACAAGCCAAGACTAAAGTGGAGAGAGAATTGGTGCATGATTTTTTTTGTTCATAGATGATTGTGAATTCATTGCAGCCTCTGAGTCTGCGATGCAACAGAGTACGAATCTATTCTCTGCTGCTTGTACTAATTTTGGCCCAAAAATTAACAACAAGAAAACAGAGGTTCTCCACAAGTCAGTACCATGAAATCCATATGTGGAACCATTGGTTACAGTAAATGTAGAAATTCTGAATACTGTGAACAAGTTCATTTATCTTGACAGTATACTTTCTAGGGATGTCCACATAGATGATAAGGTTGACACGCATTGCCAGAGCTAGCTCAGTGTTTGGGAGGCTCCAAAGGAAGGTGTGGGAGAGAAGAGGTATTATATCGCCTACCAAACTGAAGGGCTACAGAGTCATGGTTCTAACCTCATTGTTGTATGCCCATTAAAGCTGGACAGCCTATCATCACCAGGCCAGGAAACTGAATTGCTCCCATTTGAATTGTCTTAGGAAGATTCTGAAGATCATCTGGACAGCTAAGGTACTAGACACTGAGGTCCTTTCTTGTGCTGACCTGCCAAGCATTCAAACTCTACTGCAGAGAGTACAACTCTGACGGGCTGGCCACATCATTCAGATGCCAAAAGTACATTTGCCTAAAAGACTACTTTACAGAGAACTCACACAAGGCAAGCACTCACACAGAGGTCAGAAGAAGCAATACAAGGTCACCTTCAAGGTCTCTCTGAAAAGCTTTGGAATCGATTGTGAGATATGGGAGACATTGGCACTGAACCATCCAGCATGGCATAACCACATCAAAGAAGGTGCTGTGTGTGCTCCATGAGCAAGGCAGAATTGCAGTAGCTCAAAAGAAACATGAGATACACAAATTTAGAGACATCTTCACTCCAAATGTTCATTTGGACTATTTGTGCCCAACCTTTGGTAAAGCATTCCAAGCTCAAATTGGTCTGATCAGCCACAGTGGGACACAGTGTACCTTGACCCCAACATAGTGACGTCATTTTGGTCCTCTTCAAGAGTGAAGGACAGCAACCAACCATGCCTTTCCTGGAAGCAGTCTCCCCAGCCCCTTGCACATGAGACTGCATCAGCTCAGCAAACTGTGCATGTTCACCAGCACCCACCCCCTCTCCATCACATGTATGTGGACAGATATCTCTTATCTTTCCCAAATTTTTTTGCAAGTGTCTTGAGGATATGGACTATGTCTTACTGTCATGTAGGTTATGGAAAGGTGTACTGATAAAATGTTAGTGATTTTTATTGTTTGAAGGTGCTCCTATTATAGAAGCTTTCTATTTTTGAGTTCTTGATATTGGATGCTACAATGATTTCTTCAGTGGAAGTAGTTTCCACAGCAATAAAGATTATCATGTAGAAATCCTAATTATCCCTTGCTGATATTGATGTAACACTTTTTTTTAAGCAATACATATCAGATCTTCTTAGAAAGGAATAATTCTACATTTGATACAAGTAAACTAGAAAGCAATTGACTATATCTTCTATAATGGAACTCTCTAAATAGCTGCTTTGGAATATATTAAAGAGCTTATGCTAGCCATCTTCCTAGAATTTATGTGGTGAGAAACAGTCCTTCAACCTTAAACAAAGTAGTCCTGAATATAAAATATGTTACAGTCCATGATTGTGGGACCCAAACATATGCCACAGATAAAAGATTCTTTAATCACTCCTACTTTACCTAAGACTTAGACTTTGGAAACAGTAGAATTAGTGAAAGCATATTTCTCACCAGCACAATCAGTCACTGTGCAAAGAAAGAAATTTCACAAATACAATCAAGAGTCTAGCTAAGGCTTTCATTGTAGGGCTGTGTCATCTATTTCAACAACGCAATTTGGGGAATTTCCTGTATATGTGGTAGGGATAACCTTTTATATGAAGCTCATGATGAAGCATTCCCAAAATCCTCTTGACTGAACCAAATTTTACATTTGTAATTGCCTTAGACAAAGTGCTACCAATTACACCACAGTCTTACATCAGGAGAAAATGATCTCTTCTTTGGAATTCTATTAAAAATAGTGCCTTTTGTTTCCCATAATCTGCTTTGTAGACTCATAGGAACTTAGAGTTGAAAGGCACTTCAGAACTCATCTAGTCCAATCCTTTAATTTTACAATTGAGGAAAGCAAGGCTGAGTGAGGTTGTGATTTTCCCAAGGTCACAGAAGTAGTAGTTAAATGTCACAGGAACTATCCGCTTCTAATTCCATGCTGGCTATAAAACTCAAAGTGTGCTTGCCTACAAGTCAGTAAAATATAGGCTATGCATGCTTCACAATATTTACAAACCATACAAGCTCCTTCTCAAACTATGAAGTGTTAGATCAACATTGCTCACAGACAAAAGGATGTGGAATCCAGAAAAACTAGAAATTCACATGGTAGTTTATATCACCTGGAATTTTCCAGGTGTTTTGACTATTCAAGTAATAGTGAGACCCCCAAAACTTGATCATATTCAGACAGTTAATGACAGGATGCCTCAAGATACTTAAACATTAAGTGACTATGAATGCAACTCTAGTGTATCACGTATTTGCTCATAAGATCAATTGCCAAAACCGATAAGATACCCACAGGTCTTTCATAATTACAGTAATCTCCCAGGGAGTGGATATAGCATGTAGCTGAAAGAACACTTTACCTAGAGATCAGATACCTGCATTCAAATCCTGTCTCTGATACTTCCTCACTTCCCAACCACGGACAAGCAATCTGACCTCTCTGATTCTCAGTTTCTTCCTCATCTGCAAAATGTGGTTAATAATACTGATACTCATCTCATAGGGTCACTGTGGGGGAAAACACTTGTAGCATGATATAAACATGAGCTGTTAATATTATTACCCAGTTCATATTGCTGGGAGCTCTGTTGTATAACATGGCTCCTTCATGAGAAAGGTCTTGCTCAGTGTTTCCAGGAAGAGATGTAAAAACCTCTAAGAGGAAACTGGCTCATAGTACCAGCAAGTAATGCCTAAGCGTTTTTATGATTGAAAAAGCCCAACTACCAAAGGTTTCCTGGGGACTTTCCAAGAAACTAGGAAACCTTATAAGGAGAATTCAGAGTCATCCCATCCAGATAGAGACAAGGAAGCCAGAAATGTGCCTTTTGTGCTAAGGGGAAATAGTGAAAAGCTTGAGCATCTAACTAAAGTGCCCTTGAGGTAATAACACCTACCTAGTGGGCTACATCTAATGTTAATGTGAGGCTGTGTAAACTGCAAAGGCATTCTCAATAAATACTTGAGTAGAACTAAATGTGAATATTTTTCCCAACAGTTTAGCTCCACATCTTCTCATCCAATTTAACTCTTGCTTATTTCCTCCAATAAATCTTAGGAATCTACCCATCACCATGCTAGAAGCCTTCTTCTAAGTATCTTAACATTACATGTTGCAGTCTAGCATCATGTGGACTCACCATCTGTTATTCTTTATTCTTGCTACATGACCAGCTCATCTCCTTTTCCAAATATACATTTTCTGGGTGTCTTTGTAACTACTTTTTGGGTTAGGGTTAGGCTTAGAGCACAGCCTATTTATGCTTAACACCCCCCTCTTTGTCCTTTAGGTGACTAATAATTTAGATTCTTTAGATATTGTGATGAACCATAATTCTCAGCCATAGAACATTATTGGATGACTACTGATGTTAAAAAAGGTTTGGAGGGCAGTTAGGTGTCACAATGGATAGAGTCCTGGAGTTGGTTGGATCTGAGTTCAAATCCAGCCTCAGACACTTGACACTTACCAGCTGTGTAGAACTGGGCAAGTCACTTAACCCTGACTGTCTCACCCAAAACAGAAAACAAAACAAAACAAAAAAGCAAAGGGTTTTGTTACAAAGAGGATACTAGCTGGAGTCAGGAAGACCTGAGTTCAAATCCGGCCTCAGACACTATCTACATGGCACCGGGCAAGTCACTTAACCCTCATTGCCTCCAAAAGGAAAAAAAAAAAAAAGGAGATTAGCATCATGAATCATGACAGCATTGCAAAATTTCCCAAGTGCAATTCAGCCTGATAGCTTCCTTATATTCAATTTTGGGCTCTGTCTATGATCTATATGCAGTACATGTCCTGTACAGATGTGCTGAAGAACCAACTGGAGAGTCTGTCCATTCAACTGGACATCATAGTATGAACAATAAGAATTTTTATATACTTGTCTTTTCCTCTGTGGATTGTTGTGATAGAGTTTTTTAAGTGATTGTGAATTTTATTCAGAAGTCTCTGTTTGATGCAATAAATGCAATGTTGTTGTTTTTGTTGTTTTACAAACAAGAGCATATGGCAGATTTCACCATCTCTAGAGAATCCTTCAATTTGGAATCTTCCCTAGATATCTTTCAAGACAGTGACAAAACACATTCAGTGAGCATATTATGCCTCTATATTATGCTTTACTTTTATCTTTGTTGTGATATCCATCAAGGAATCTTGTATGCTCTTAGCATAAACCCATAAAGAGCCTTTCCAGAAATCCACCATGATCCAATGATGCTTTGGAATCAGAGAGACTCATTAGAAAGATGGTCCAAATGGGGAGACTGTTCTGACCATCCTGGCCCAAGAAGCTGCATGTAGGCAAGCATTGTGAAAAGACCTCTGAAGAGCAGGAAGATACTTCTTTTTTAAGGAAGCGGGGAATAAGGAATTCCTTTCCATGCAATGCTGCATTGAATCCTATGGAGTGTGAAACATTAAGAGCTGCACCATTCTTTTGAGCTAAAGACCTTTGATCTTCATCCCCTGCCAAAAAAAGATGTTGGCCCCATGTAGGTCTACTCTCTGTACCTCCCTGTTCTGTGATAGGAGTAATATTCCTGTGGCTAGTAGCAGAGCCTTGGAGATCCTGAAAATGCAGCTTTCCTGTGG